AACATACGAGCGGTGCGTAATGCTAGATCCTTGCGTCCTAGCGACCACGTAACAGTGGGTTGTCTCTTCTCGTCGCGCGCGCTTTACTTGGGTGGATTCGCCGATCTTTTTTCGTTAATTACTCAGTACAAACTTATTACAAAATTTTTATTACTTTTATTTTACTATTTATTTTATTACTTATTACGAAAATCAAAAAATGGTAAAGGACTTTTTTACTCGGTTTGATCTCCTCTACCTGTATATGACCGGTGGGGCGATTATTGCCAGATACCCTGTATAAGAAATAGGCTGGGTTGTTGAGACACCTCTCAGAAAATAGTAATATCTTTTTCGCTACATAAATAATGTTTTAATTTCATTAATAATTAAATATATATATATTATGTATTAATGAAAATAAACATTATTTATGTAGTGAAGAAAATGTTACGATTTCCTGAGAGATGCCTAAACAATCCAGCTTATTTCTAATATAAAACGCTCCTGAGCCAGAGCTATCGGCGGCTCGGTCGCCAGCAGCCGGGCGGTAGTGGGGAAACAGAAGGCGTCGTCTCAGAAATCGGCCCGAAATGTGCAACTACACTGAAAAAAAATTCTAGGTAAACTTGTAAGATGCATTTAGTAATGCATGTTTTAAAATTATTTGGTTGTTATTATTAATTATAATAATAATAACACAATATTTGATAATAATTACAAATATTTTAAAAGAACAAATTTTGTGTTTAGTCGAGCTAACTAAATTACATAGTATTTATTATTGAAAAGTTTGATGATAATCAGCAAACAATTTGATAATTAATACTAAATTGTCTTGAAAGCATTATCTGATTGATTTGTTGACAGTTACTACATTATTTGGTATTACTAAATCAGAGATTATTCTTTACGAAATCTATCAGTTTATCATATTCCTGTGCCTTATGCGCAATATCACGTTGAGTCGCATTTGTTTTGAACACGATACGCATGTATGTGGCACGGGAGCCATTTCTTCAACGTGCTACTGCATGCTACCGGAATCAGTATCAGTTCGTACGTACTCGTAGTGATCTGATTAATCGTTGTGGAGAAAGGAGGACCGGTTGTAACAAATTCGTCAAATGTGACATTAGGAGGCTGTGTTACGAATCGTTTTGTGAAATCAGTTCTAGCACTAGTCAGTTTAAAATCGGAAAGACTTACAACTGGCAATTAATTCTCACTAAATGAAAGCTAGTACAACATATTAGACTCTGTATACTGAAGATGGTCGAAAAATCGATCGAAACGTCTATTATTATTATCATTATCGATTAAAGAAGAAATTTGGCAATTGAAATCCTGCTTTGACCTTCGATCCTCCTTTCTCTACAACGATTAATAACTATTACTGAAAAATTGGTTAATACTTACTAATTGTAAATCATTTAGTTATAGTTATTACATGAGTTTATGATAAATATCAAATAATTTGGAAATTATTACTGAACAATTCGTTAATATTTACAAATCGTTTTGTTATAATTATCATATATAGTTTGGTAATATTTACCAAACACCAATAATTATTACAAAATAATCTGTTTATACTTATCAAATTCTTTGATAATATTTATCATTATTTGTTAATAATCATCAAACTTTGCCAATATTAACCAAGTCGTATCAAATTTTGCTACAATTATTTGTTAACATTAACCAAATTATTTTGTCATTACCAATATGTTTAGTTGAAACTATGTCACCAAAGTTCTTAGTAATTTTTACCAAATTTGAATTATTATAACCAATCTTTTTTTTCAGTGTAATTCCGAGCGCTGATCTACGTAGATGACGTGTTAAATATAGTTTACGCGTAGACGCGTATAGTTTAAACATAAACGCACTCACGACCTCGATATTACACAAGAAATACAAATTTATAAGTTTGAAGTCTTACAGAAAAAGAAGGACACACATAGAATTATAGTTCTTGGACAATAAAGATACAAAGGAAGATACAAAATCGAACAATAAAATTAAATTATTTACATATTCTAAGAGTAAGTACATTTCTCGAACTCTTGCTTTTAGGCGTAAATTTCTCGATTGCGATTTAACAACACGCATTTCTACAAAATTAAAAAAATTTTAAAGTAATTTTTTTAATTTCTATTATTATCTATTAAATTCTAATAAATTCGATAACAGCATCTTAAAAAAGCATTATTGATTGTAGATTACTGTTAAAATATAATTTTTCCATCTTTGATTATTGTGTGTACCAATAAATCTCTTCTCTTTGCTTTACAACATTCTTGTTAATGCAATAAAGGATTCCCTGGGCCACGAACTACCGAGAGAAGAGGAGTGCTCTTGCTGAGATTTATCTGAGAGGGGTTGACGAGGCTGTCCAAAGGCCGCGGTCAATTGTTACACTGCTCACCGCCAACGACAGTTGCAACAATCAGCTACAATAACTGCGATTACAATAGACATGCAACTTGTAGAACTCTCCTCGTCTTCGTGGACCTATGACAACGAATACTCGTATCGCTCCCATTCCAAAGATACTCTTCTGTGAATGGAATCTGAAAAACACAAAATTCCTTAACACGGGTAATACTTCTTTGACACAAATCGAGACTGTTTCGTACAATATAAGAAAGATGTATGATTGATTTATTAAATCAAAGAAAATGTTAAACGAACGTTAAGGAAATCGAAGAGATTATTAACCAAGTGTAATAAACAAATTAAAATTATACATAGGAGACGAAAGATACCAAATACGTAATTCTAATATCCAATACATTAAGTCGAGATGATCTCATCCAGTAAATGTTTTAATTCCATGATGACGATGAGACAGGAATTTGTAAAATTATTTAGTCATTCTCGTCACGAGAAGCACTAATTAATCAAAGTAAGTAGGTCAATGTAAAATCACCATTAACCCTTTAAGTATTAATGATCTATATATACAGCAATTAAAAAATATTTTTTATGTATGGCATCTTTGCAAAATTATGGTATCCAAAAATCTATGGGTATTAACATAAAATTTAAAAATTTAAGAAAATATTATTTTTAACATAAAACAAAATAAAATTTATTGTAATCTGCATTAAAAATCTATAATTTTTTAATTGAATTATACTTCATGAAAAGTTTCTTTATTTTTTATCTTTGAATCAATACAATATAAAATTTACATCTTAATTTATAAATTAAAAATTCTTAAAATTTTCTGCAAAATTTTTATACAAAATTTATTATTTGAATTTTTAATTGTCATGTCGCATTAACAATTTGGAATTACAAAATTTTAACTGGAGATTTGAATTTAATGTCCAAAATATTCCGAATATTCCATCTTTACGTGAATTTAATTAAAAATTGTATTATAAATATTATTTTCTAACAATGTAAATTGTTTTTATTTATTAACAATTAAGGGGTTAAAAATGTGAATGCATAATTCGATATTGCTGATAAATAAACACCTTCGAATAAGTAACCACGTTCACTCGAACATGTGACTTGGATCGAAATAATCTGTAAATTTTGCACAAACGCTAGATTGGTTCTGATTTATTTGAAGAAAGAAAGAAGAAAAAATATTTTCAATGTATTGTGTATTTGACATTTAAAAGTTTAAACAAGCGCAAGTAGTTGTCTTCGATGTATCCTTGATCGGAGAGATGATTGTATCATCTATTTATCTATCGGTAAGATTTGTGCAATGAAGTCGATTCTCGAATTTGAAAATGTGTCATGATTGTGAAATAAAATGTTATACTATAATATCGATGTAAAACTCTTTGTAGGCTGATCATCTATCTCGTGACTCATTTTTAGTTAGAAAAGCTATGACACGAACTCGGTTTCTCGTTGGTTATACCATCACTATTGTAAAATGGATAACAATAAATCTTGGACAGGGGGGAGATATATAAAAAGAGCACGAGTCCTTTTTTATTTTTCTTACAACGACGACGTACTTTACGTGCGCGTAGCGTATGAAAGTCAGTCACTATGTATGTATCGTAAAACGTAATAAAGGCGTGTTTATGAAAAAGAGTATTATTATTTTATCACACTTTTTTCGATGTCATCTTTTTTGCGATTTGTGAATTTACTCGTTAGCCTGTTATTTAATTAGGCGAATTCTTCTTTAATTTAATGCTTAGAAATTTCAGATTGTAGAGCAGTTTGAATGAGAATTTCAGGTTCAAAAATTAGATAAATGATATAATTTGAATACAAAACTTGTAAAATGTGTAATAATGTACACATACACACACATGTGACATATACATATACTGTATTAAATTTGGCGAATCTACGGCACGCGTGCCGCAGATGGCACGCGAGAAAATTTGTTGACGCAAAAGATTTGTTGTATAAAATCAAATTTTATTTTAATTTTTTTAAATTATACAATTAAAAACAATATTTGAACAATAGTTTTAAAAGTTGAATAAGAATTAAAAAATTACGAATTATATTATTAATAATTATTAGAAATAATGCTGTTCTTAATTTAATAAAATTTTGTTTTTTTTTTAAATAATAAGACCCGCACGTCACCTATTGTCATACATATTGTTATGTCCTGATAAAAAAGATTCAAAAAAGTCGACAATCAGTGAGAAGAGGCTGATTGTTCGAGCCGAGCGGTCTGTGTGACTTGCACTGAAAAAAATGTTTTGCTGATGTAGGTACATTTCTAGGTGTCACAACAAAAATGTATCGCTATTTTTTGTATCTGCTAAAATATTGTTTGTCACATGTAAAATTTATGACAGCAACATTCTAGTAATATCTTCTAGAAAATTTAGGTCTCATTGCCAAATAATAATAATTGCATTGAGTAAATGAGTTTTGATACTGTAGCTAGAACAAGCTATATTTCTTGTGAGAAATATAGCTGCCGATTATAACGCACGCATTATACAAATTATGTTAGATGTGAGGATTATACTCCCATAGCAAAACAAATCACAGTGATATCATAATGATATTTCTCTATGACGCTCAAATATGTCATAATAAAATCGTGGTGACATACGAATGTCTGCTTTATCACAGATATAATGTCGCTATGACATCATTGTGATATGAAAAATAAAATAAAAATATAAAATAAGAAATAGATATTTATCTACTCAATTTCTGAACAATCAGTCTATCTAAATTCTCTGTTTGGATTCAGATATTAAACTGATAGAAAGTTATTACATCTTTAATATTATTAGCTGCCTTTTGCAAGTTTTATATAATTCTCATGATTAAAACTTAAATACGAGATAGATAGCGCATAAATGCGTCACATAGCAGCAAGCAAACGAACTAATGACTAAATACTGTTTTTAGAATGTTGTAATATTTCTGCGACATTTGATGTCATATTATAATGATATCACCACGACTGTAACTAATGATATCACTGTAACTTCTGATAATGTCACAATGACATCTCAATTTTTCTGTAACCTTGTGACTCTATTGTAAGTCTGTTTTAATGTCACTGTGGTTTTCTTTGCTATGGGGGTATTGTTGGAGTGAAGATTTCTTCTGGCCTTTGGAAGAAAGAGAGATGGCGTGTGGTTCCCTTTTTCTCTCTCTTATATTACTAAAAGTTATTTTTTGTTTTTTTTTATCTTTCTACGGCGTAGCAGCGCCACGCTTTACTTCACTTCTATGAAGACCGTCGTTGAAGCCACATCGACTTTCTCAGTTTTAGTTTTTTATTTGATTTTATATTAATAGCCAGTATTGTTCAGTATTGTTAAATAGTAGAGATAAGCGTTATATCCAGAGGTACTTAATAAAGAATGCGCAGTGCGTCAGTTATATTTGTGATACAAATCGGTGGTTAATTGTGCCCTATCTTCACCTGTCTTCACCTCCGTCCAGCCTCGCGCATTCTGCCAGGTTGTGGGCCCAGACACTCGGTGGACAAGAGATTGAGAGTTCCTTCAGAGAAACCGTAAGTACATACTTGTGTAAGCAGGTGCTAATCAATGTGAAATAGAGAGGGGCGGAACTATAAGAGACCGGACATGTCGTGTAAAATTGGGCGATATTATATCAATCTCAGAATTCCAAGAAATTCAGAAAATCACGCATGTGTCGCAAAGAAAACGTGTCTCAAAAATATTGATAAATCTAAGATAAATTCTGAAGAAAACAAATGCATGAATTGTCCGGCACTTGGCGGGAAACAAAGTCACGTGGTCCAGCCATAGCCATAAAGT